CCAACATTTGGCACTCTCCTTTTCCCTATTTTATTCTGTCAACAATATGTGGGGTAGACCAGGCTAAGTGAAAGAGTGACTTGTCCATAGTCACCCATTGAGTTTTATGGCTCAGTAGGAACAAGAACCTGGATCTGTCAAGGGACAGGGTGATGACTGACAGATTTGTCCCTGTCCATTCACCCATGGGCTGGAGGTGAAGGAAACTGTAGTTCCTACCATTTGAAGAGACTAGGACGGCTGCCTACTGGAGGCAAGACCCGCCATAGAAGACCACAACTGTACTCCTATGCAGCTGCTCTTCATTTCAATCGAGCTTGTGCAAGTTAATGTAAGAGCCAGCTATATCCATGTTAATTGGTGATACGAAGGGTGAGGAGAAGAGGAATGTAATGTCATTTGGATGTTTTTTTTTCCCCTCAGGCATCAAAGTACCTTAGGGCAACCCTTTGTAGGAATGTAATGTCATTTGGATGTTTTTTTCCCCCTCAGGCATCAAAGTACCTTAGGGGAGAGAGGGGAAGACCTCAAGAAAGGGTTTTGCATGACCACCCACTGTGGAGAAGAGATGAATTTGCTGCTGCCACTGCTGCAGTACTGCAAGTGCTGCTCCCGCTAGTCCACTTAGTCAAGCTGTGATCAGCACAGGGAGTCCACATATGGACTGCGGGTGTTAAGTGCACTGACTCAGTGCACCTGTCACATGTAAAAGCCTCCATCTGGAAGTAACCTAATATATAAGCGTGTGGCTGGAAGGGAGGCTGCCAGCGCTCCAGATGAGCTAGAGAGGAACAAAACCTCCAGCATCAAAGGATCTGTGTATGCGAGACCCTCTCGCTCCAGGCTCTTTAAGCACAGTCACTGTACTGTAAGAGCCCATTTCAATGACTAAGTTATATTCGCTTTACATCACTTAATTGTCTGTCGTGATTTCCTCTCAAACAATCATGAGAACTGCCTTCTGGTGATGAGCATGCTGATGAGGGATTCTGTTGTATGCCCCTGCTGCCAGATTAAAACATCCAGAATTCCTGGGAATGTCTATTAAGCCAATTTAAAGTAGGTGTAGGGTAGATAAGTACTTGAATGCCACTTTTAAAGCCTTTTATTCTCATTAGTGACTAAACCTTCCCCACACCAGGAAATTAGGTTACCTGAACCAGGCAGGCACCATTTTCAATTAATTACACACAGAATTCTTCTTCTGCGAATCAGAGCTAGGATTCTGGAGTTGGGAACGATAGGGACAGTATAACTAGGATCCTGCTCCCTTATTTTTTCTGCCAACCAAAGAGAACAACCCAATTTTTACTGGGACTCCTTTCCATTCCAATCTCCCTTCTTTAGCCCTCAAACACCTCACTGTGCTTTGATATTAGAAAAAGCAACACATGGAGTGTCATTCTGTAATCTGACAATAGACTCATGACCCAAGTTATAACATCCCTGAGCTTTCTTTAAACCAAAAAAATTAATTCCCTTGTTGAAGGCTGGAACAGAAAGAATAATTTCCCCTAGCTAATCATGAAAGTAATTACTGCTCTTTCCTATGTGTGCACGCACACAGGCACACTCTCCTTTCTGTGTGGATAAAACTGATTATATAGCTTATCACTAGACTTCGTAAATACACATGTTCTCTTTTACCAGATAATACCCGAAAGTCTATTAATTTATTCATTTAATACAATGGGTTTTTCAAGTGCTTGGAGACCCTCACCAATCAAGGAGCTCAGATTTTGTGAGAAATATGGGTGATGGAAATACACAATGAATGATAGCCTCTGCCCTAAAATGTTCACAGTCTAGGAGTGCTTCCAAATTAGATTTTTGTCACAGAATTGTTCCGCTTCCTTCACATAATTTTACAGACAACAGAGTCTCCCACTCATAATCCTCTTGTGTTTTCTCCACTGTGTCTTCTGCTTAGTGTGTGTGTCTTCTTACCCGGAAAAAAAAGAAGGCCACTCAGGAGAAGAAAATGGAGTGGTAGTATTCTGAGTTCTCCATCTGGAAGCACCCCAGATACACAAAGGTTCCCCCCACTCCTGAGTACAGATATTAAGTCATACAGTGATGACAGGATCAACATGACTAAGTCAACAGTCAAAAGAATCAGAACCTGGTGCTCTGAGTACCAGAAGACACTCTCACTTCTATGCTGATAGTTCGAAAAGCCACTCCTTAGAATTATACGCAATTCACAAAACTGTCAACCAAAATTGTCCCTGCTGTGCAAAACTCCACCTGTAAACTCTGAAAGGAAGTATTCTCTTTTGTCAGCACTAGCTGACCCAAAATAGCTCTTATGAAACCAAACTGCAGCTGGGAAAATGTAGACATAATCGGAAAGCCACAGGAATAATGTTACCAAAACCCTTTATGGTATACTGTAAAAGCATTCCATGTTCCTGAAAGTGCAAACAACAGAGGGTAGATAAAAATAACTTCTAGAATGCCTATAGACAAGTGCTTTTTATATATACTGTGCCTTGTCATTTCCTATTCCTTCTACTATCTTGGGTTGTAGTTCCTAATAGCTACAGCCAGTATTCTTGCTGTTTCTGCCACATTATTTCCTGCTAATATAAGTATAGACAACCTGGGATCCCCCCTTGATCTGCACCTCTAGTTCCCTCTGGGCTGGGCCATATCAGAGACAAGCAATCATAAGTAAATGGGCCTCATCTCATAAAAAATCCAAAGGTAAATCAACCCAGCTTACAACCAGAGTGTTGTAGTGGTCAGAGTGTTTTACTTGGGCCAATGAGACCTGGGTTCCATTCCATTTGGACCCAAAGGCTCATTTGGGGTCACTCACTATACTATATTTCAGTATGATACACCTCACAGGGAAGCTATGAGGACAAAATGAGGTAGGATAGATCATACATGCCAATCCTAAATTTCTAGGGGAAACGTGAGGTGGAAATGTGGTGAATAAAACAAACCAAAATGGTATTGTGACCAAAACATCAGTCTTCAAAGAGCAACAAGGGTAAAGACTGTGTGCCACTCCACACACTTCTTTACTGTAACCCCCACACACACACATCTGTATAATTGCTGGCGTTTTCCACCTCACACCTGCCACTGCCTCTCGTTGCTCCATTCCATACCTTATTTTTTTTTACCAGGACCAGATTAGATTGGCAAGCAGAATGAGGGAATATTGTCTATGGTTTTAATCCTACACACACACACACATGCACCACCAGTTATTATCACTTTCTTCCCCTCGAAAGGAATTATTCTTATCCCACCCAGGCCCTGCACAACGTGTAAGCCACAAGGCAGACACAACCTTATCAGAACTAAAATAATGACTGGTACAATGGCTCTTCTGTCAAGGACCATCTGTGTTTGTGTGTGTGTGTGTGGGCGGAAGAAACTACCATCACTCACAGCTCCTTACACTACCTACCAATACTGGGTCTTTCTCAGAGCTTAGCAAAGCTGCCACCTGGGGGATTCTGGGAATGGTACTCCAGGGAGAGGGGGAGAGGATCTTTTCTGGGTGCTGATCTGTCTACACACCTCACAGCCATAGCCACTCCCATCTACACTTCCTGTGTTTCTCTCACTCACAATACTCCATGTGCTCTGGTTAACACGAGAAAAGGAGCGAACTAGAACTGAGTGGAAAGTAAGGGAAGAGACAGAGAACATGACCGGTGGCAGGCGATCATGCTGGCAGAAGCAAGGAAGAGCAGCCACCACCATTACTGCCTTTCCTCCTTACTATAGAGGGGCCAGAGAGTCAAACCAGACATCATGGGGAACACATACCTCCTGTGATAACCATATAGCTTCTATCCAGCAGTGAGTTTCCCCAGAGAGGCATGGCTCAGCAATCAGACTGGCCAGGTTTGTGTTTACCACCCAGTGGCCAATCGGAAAGCAAAGCACAACTAAATATAAAATACGGAGATGAGAAAAAGCACATGCTGGTATAAACAGATGTCTTTCGACACTTTTAAATACATGCTAAGTACCGTACGTATATTTATCTAGTTTGATCCAGAGATGATTCAGGGCTCTCTCCTTTACTCTTCTATTCCTCCCTAGCAACCGAATTACTATGATCGTGGTCCTAGTGGCAACCTGTGCTGGTGCTAGGAGAATAGGAGTATCCTATCAAGCTCTGCAACAGCCACTCTGCTACCCATCAGCACCAGATTTCAAGTCCCACCCCACCCATGTATGACGGGGCACTGCAATTCTCTGGCCCAGGCCTCCCAAATGTCACGTCAGCTTCACAGGGCCTCCTTGTGCCTCCTGTGTTTATTGTTTCAGTAGAAGATATAAATGGAATTACTGTATTATCATGTCACAATAAGGGACTTGCTGGATCACAACTTGTGCTGGTCTGCTGCACCCCACCCCCCTCTTGAAACTGGCACATTTGGGAAGCCACCTTCTGCCTCAGCTCAGCACAATGTCTCTTCTTATCTGTTTCTTTCACCACCAGCACCACCCCTCTTACATGCCACCTCTACTTTAGATGCTACTGTATGTCTATGGGCAGAGATCACAGATACTGATGCACATGGCACACACTCAATGAATATTTAATATTAACTAATATTAACTTTACTCAGTAAGCTACTGATGCCTGAAAAAAACTATAGATATGTAACTTAAACCAGAGTGTGCTTTCTTAATCATCGTTTCTTCCGCAATATGCTGTTCCAGCTCTGTCCTAAGGAAAAATATCCCTCAAGCTACCCTTGCTACCATTAGAAGAGACAAACCTGTCCTGTCCTGTCCACTGGTTACCACACTCTGTGTTCAATTCAAGCCACATCCAGGGATGGACTCCTCTTTCATGCAAGAACAAAAAAAAATTCAGAAGCTTGTTCAGGGAAGAAGACACATAATCAACAATGCAGGGTTCAGGGTAGGAGGAGTCAGAATGGGGTGAGAGACTCTAATTTCAAGAATTACAGGGAAAGGAGAAAAGACAAAAATAATGTTTAGTTTTAAAAAATCTGACTGACCTGACAGTTCTTGAATTTTCCCCATCCGACCTGCAAAGCAAAGAGACAAAAAGTATCAGAGCAGAGTTAACCTTAGATCAATGCCCATTTTAAAAGCTGTGGGTTAAGGTTTGCTTTGGAAGAGACACACTTAGCATCTGGAGGTGGTCATTCCCAGGTTTTAGGAGGGTAATTAGGATATGAATTCAAACATAGATCTGTTTAATATGTTACAATAAGCCAGGTTGTAGTCTGATGAATTCTGATGTGTTGTTATGCCCAAATCTGACCCTGCAAACAAACCATGGTTAATTGGTAAACCACAAAGTCCAATTTCCAACCATTAACTGTTATTGATTTTGAAATTCTGGCTTGTTCAAACTATGGTTTACTATGATAACTGAACACATCACCATAACTTGTGAATTTGGCTAAAGGTTATAGAAGATGAATTAGGTATCGGAGTCTTGTCTTTGCTTAGGGTTGATATACTAGTTTTAAAACTGGACAGAATTTAGAACAGTTACTTTTTGGGCCACATCTCTTACATTTCCTGTGCTAGTACGCCACTGGTGATGCTGCCCAGGGGATTATGGGAGCTGGAATCCAAAAAGGTAAGTTTTCCAAACTCTGAAAATTGAACCCGTTGGAATAGGTATGGTTGAATGAAAGAAACTAGTTGGTATCCCTTGATCTACTTGCTAAGCTAAAAGGAAGTATCCTTCTTTTGTGAAACCCTTCACACATCCCAGTCCTGTTTCAATAATGGGAGTTAAGATAAACAGAAACAAAAATATTGGCAACATAGTTCTTAATGTTATTCAGAAATCATCTGAATTGCAAAGCCAGCTGTTTCATAGGCATATAGGCAGAAATTATTAAACAATAACCACTCAGTGTCAATGAAACTTGAGTTGATTGCTCTGAACTTCATGACCATGGCATCCAATCAAGCAGGGATTTGTTTAATAAATTCTCAATTGAGGCCAATCACTTATTTTGATTATTTATTGAAAACACTGCATATGAACATTCTCTTCTCCTGTTCCAGCACAGTTTTGGGACTTTGATTTTTTTCAGTCAGGGAGGGTTTCAGAAGGGCTTCTTACAGTGGTGAGAACTATAAGTAGGCGTGGCACAGGTGAAACCAATTCCTAAGAAAAAAGACAGTAACCTGCACATGGCATCACCAGCGAACACATGTGGATATTACGAGCTAGGAAAGAATTCTAATAGCAAGATGAGTTTTTTCCCCCCAAGTAAACACTCACGAATACAAAACCTCTTTTGAATCAAGCTTATGAGAATTCACCAACCATTGCTGAATGCCTTTTATGGAGTGAAAGGCAGCTAATAAATAAATAAATACAAGTAGCAGCATACTTTTAAAGTTATAAATTTGATAAAATTAAAGTAAGAATCTTAAACTTGCTAATCTTCTGAGAACTCTGTGCTAATTGCTCAAACACTAGAAAGATGGATGGTGTCAGATTTAACTCTTTCTCCAGCTGAACAAGTGATTGCTTGCCCATACTATATTACCACACCAAGTACAATATAATGGTAAGAATGTCAGGCCGGAAAGAGAGATAGACAAGTTCAAATCCTCATTCAACCACTAAGTCATTAACTGGAAAACCTTGGGCCAATTGCCGTTTCAGCCTAATTTGCCTCACGAGGGTACTTGTGAGGAAAAAAACAAGGGCAGACCATGGGCTAAGCAGGAGGAGGCATCACTCCCCAGAAAAATGGAGTGAGCCCTGCCATCCCCTTCAAACCTGTTAGTGGAAATCAAATAGAGGATCTCTCTTTGCTTAAAAAAATTAGTAGCTTTTGAGGTGAAACCCTGAATCAGGAGGAAACTGGTAGTGATAGAGGATAGTTAAAGCTCTATACCCTTGGTATTTTACCAACATATATCACTCCCTAGAAGAAACTTGTTCTAATGGGGCAAAAAACACAAGGGGGAATTTACAGTGGGAAAGTGCCATGGAGGAAAAGGGTAAAAATACTTCTCCTGCTCTAAGGGCCACAGTCTCAATCCATTTTCTCTCACACACAACCATCCTAACTTTGCTTTTTAGAGAATGTAAAGAAAATTAAAGAGACAGGGAGATTTGATTGCAGACCCCTATTATCTAATTAAGCCTTACTTTCTGTCTCTTTCTGTCTCTCTGATTTAATGAAAAGGTTGAATGCAACCCTGATCAGCACAGCTCCTGCTCCATAAAGATAGCCTCCCCCTTAACACGATTACTGCATTCTTGAACCTGTTGGTTCTTGAAATGCTGGACATGTGGTCTGAACAAGTACTATGAAAACAGCCTTTGTTATGCACCAGAAGTCATTCATGTCTATTCCGTGCTGGCATCTGACACCTAGCTGGCATTTTCTTGACCCTGCCTTCTTAAAAAGCATTATCTACCTAGGTAATGGGGAAATTGGACAAAACATTCCTCTTAGTAATGAAAGGTACAAGTCAGGAGAAAAAAACAGGAAGAGGAAAAATAGATTTAAAGGAAGAGAGAGGACAAATGTACAGAAAGTGCAGTTGTTCACTATGGCAGGTTAAAGGAACCTCCAGGTTCTATGGCAGTTTTTATCTCTGAAAGAGCAACTGTGGTGAGCCATACAAGGAGTGTCATTGCCCTCATGTCCTGCTTGCGGATTTTCCAAAAGTATCCAGCTGGCTAGTGTGTGAAACAGGACTAGGATGCTGAACTCTTGCCTGAACAAGAAGTATTTTCACAGTGTTAAGGACAGCCAAGGAAAATGTTGGCAAATGAGATGAAGATAGATGTGAATAGCAAGGCCCAATGTATATATTATCCTAGGGAGAAAGCAGCTGGCTACAAATTTCCCCCATGCACTCCAATTCCATACCATTTACAGAACAGATGGAGAACATTTTGGTCTACAACTCGGTACCTGAGCCATATCCAACAACTTCCACTGTCCAATGAAAAAGGATTGCGGATGTTGTCATCCAAACAGCCAAAGGACTAAAAGTTATCCACCATTAATACAAAGGCTTGGATCACATGATATCACAGAATTGTCCTAATTATATTTTTGGACCTCTTGTGCTTCATACCTTTAGGAACACCCTGCTCAAGGTCACTAGCTGTTATCTGTTCTCAGTGAAGAGCATACTCTCCTGGCAGGGCAGCGGCTCATGACGGGCAGGGTGACTCACTCATTCTGCCTTTTCCCTGCCTCTTCACACACACCCCATGCATGACCCCCCCCCAAACCGGTCCGTGGTTCAGAAAAGGTTGGGAGCCACTTCCATAAAAAAGGTAAAGGTTTCCCTTGACAATTGTCCAGTTGTGTCTGACTCTAGGGGGCGGTGCTCATCCCCATTTCCAAGCCAAAGAGCCAGTGTTTGTCCATAGACAGTTTTCGTGGTCACGTGGCCAGCACAACTAGACATGGAACACCGTTACCTTCCCACCGAGGTGGTCCCTATTTATCTATTCACATTTTTACATGCTTTTGAACTGCTATGTTGGCAGGAGCTGGGACAGGCGACCGGAGCTCCCTCCGTCACGTGGATTCGAACTGATGGTCTTTCTACCTTGCAGCCCAGAGGCTTTGCGGTTTAACCTGCAGTGCCACCACATCCCTCCACTGCCATAAAGCATATGATAAAGTGGAGGAAGAATCCAGCCATATCCCATTCAGGGTACAACAGGCAAGACAAATTTAAGATACTTTTGGTACATTGAGACAGGTATTATAGTCAGAGGTTAGAAAAGTTACTCTGGACCAGCTCATGTCAATACTCACTTAAAAGGGGAGCAAAAAAAAAAAGTGGATGAGAGGAGGAAAGGATGGTATATCTCATGAGGAATAGGACAGTGGGATAAATGCATGATCCAAGTGGAAATCCTAGCTTAAGCCCTAAAACTAACTGTCTCTCTGTCTGTCTGTCTGTTTGTTTTGAAAAGGGTAGCAGCAAGCCAAGCTTTCAAACACTGTCATTTACCAATGTACAGTATACACATTTTTTAATTTGTTTGTTAGACCTGTTTGCATCCTGCCTTTCTTCCAATGAGTTCAAAGTGGAGAACAAGCTCTCCTCCTCCCCGCTTTTAGGTCAGGCTGAGAAAGGAGGACTGGCCTAAAGCCATCCAATTAATTTTGCAGCTTAGTGCAGACAGGAGCCTGGGCCTCCCAAGCCCAGATGAAGATCAGATTCCAATGAGTCCCATGTCCTTCCCACCCACAGCTAGAAAGGAATCATAGGATGTGGTCACACAAGCCAAATGTATGCCTTCCTATTTCCCCCCCACCCAATTGAATTATTGGTCACATGGCTCATGGCCATTAGTGAATCATTTACCTGGCAAGCATGCTAACTGTGGATCATTTCCCACTCTGCCAGAAGCTTCTATTTTTGTTGTTGCAGATCTTTTCTATCTATCTATCTATCTATCTATCTATCTATCTATCTATCTATCTATCTATCTATCTCTCTATCTATCTATCTATCTATCTATCTATCTCTCTATCTATCTATCTATCTATCTATCTATCTCTCTATCTATCTATCTATCTATCTATCTATCTCTCTATCTATCTATCTATCTATCTATCTATGTTGCTGTATGTGTGAATGATCTTATTGCAACTTTTTTGAATGACTGTTGCCGTGCATGTCCTTTGAAAATGTCAATTTTTAAAAAATTCTGTGGTGTTTGTGTCAATGCATCACTTAACTTCTGTCAAACAGTCTCAACAAGAAGCTCTAGGCACCTATTGAATTGGATCTTCAGTGGTGGAGGTCCATTGACTGTAATGTATTGTTTCCTGAGGCGCCGGGGACACAGAAAAAAAGGGAAACCATCATGGAACTGTCAATGCAAAACAATTATGGGGGGAAAAATAACAGGGTTGCAGTGCCCAAGATAAATAATAATCTGGCACCACAGTGTAGATGGTGAAATAACTGAAGGAAATTGTTTGGTAACCCAAAAGCATATCAGGACGCACATCCTGGAATAAATGCCACATGACCGCAAAGCATGACAGGATTGTGATTAAAAGTT